CTGCCTCTGCCACTGCTACTGCTACTGCTACTATTATTACTATTTTGCTACTCCTCCTCCTCCTCCTCCTGCTGCTGCTGCTGCTGCTACTACGTCGACGACGACGACTACTGCTACTACTCCTTCGTCTGCTTCTGCGTTGACGACGATTACTACTGCGACTACTATGGCCATTAGTACGACGGTTACGCTTACTGGTTTCATTGTTTTTGTTATTCTCTATGTTGCTCCTGCTCCGGCTGGAGCCCGGTAGCTGCAGGGGCCAAGGCCTTGGCACAGTGCCATTCTGCTATCGAAGCCCAGGCGCGGAAATGCTGTCTTAGTGGTTTAGATTTTTCGGTGGCTTGCCGAGTTCACGCCTGGAAGCATCATGCCGTTCTGTAGGGGTGAACTCGGCAAGCCTGTCGAGAAAAACGGGTTTCGGCGGCTTGTGCTAATGTGCTCCAATACTCATGTATATCAGCAGCATTTTGAAGCAGAACCCGGAGCAGGTTTAGAGTAGGGCGTGTAAGTGTTCAGAACTGGGCCGCACGCGGCGTGGCAGGTGAAAGTAAGTGCTTCGGAGTTTGTGGCTTTGAGGCTTGAGGGCTTATCTGAGCTGAACATCTTCTGTTGGTAGGATCCCGGCCGCCCACAACAAGGACATTCACAGTCTCAAGCACATCAAAGAACAACTGGCCTAGGATGTGAGGTTTAGGGTCCGCCGGGGTGTCGTCATCACGGTGGTGGCTGTGATGCTGTTGATGAAGATGATCAGGTCGATGACGACGACATGTTCTAGAGGTGCGAATAGTTTGTATTTCCTTGGCGTCAGTGGTTCCGCTGGCGATGCTGGCTGCAGGCCATGCTATTCATGGCAGCTTTTTATCAATGAAGCAAAAACCCGCGATCTTGTACCCTTGCTTGTGTTTGCGATAGCTGCTGTCGTGTCATGTTGGTGGCAAATTTGGGCCAGATACTGTTACACAAGTCTTCTACGGCATTATGGAGGTACATGTCCTGAATATTTCTGGCTGCTTTGAAACTCATTTCAGCATCACGTACCTAAAGCCCTGTCCTGAACTCGTCTTCGTCCAGTGAGGCCGGGGAGGCAGTATGTTCGTTCACGGAACGATCCAAAGACTATCCATGTGGATGGCCGCCGGGGCCTCAATAGGGTGAAGGGCACATAGGGCTTCAGGGTAGAAGGTTTCAGGGTATAGGGTTTAAGGGTATGGGTTGAGGGTTTAAGGGCACAGAAAGGCATTGGGTTTAAGGATTTAGGGTTTAGGGGTTTAGGCTAGGCCACAAAAGCAATTCAGGGTTGGTCGTCGATTCTCTCCTTTCGAGTTTTGGGCATGGATGACATGGATGGACTCTGATACCGGCCGTTTTTTCGGAGCTTCCAACCTTGCTTTTCGAGTTGGCACCGTGACTTCTGGCTAGCGCTGGGCAACACTTTGGCATTTCAGTGGGTGAGGGTGGAAGCAATTGGGGTTCAAGTTGGCCACGGTTTTGCAATGATGTTCTTCGTGTGGGGGCAAAACGAAATCATGTCGCAAGGGAGTGTGGGTATCAATCAGGCGTTCTTTCCGAAGCCGGGAGGGACACCCGGAATGTTTCGGGCAAACAGGTGCCCATCAAGACGTTTAAATTCTAGGGTTTGGCTTGCAGGAATCGTGCAGAAGCTTATTGCCTGCCGGAGCCGAAAGACGGCTAACATTGGAGAGAAAGGAAATCAGTTCGGGAGTGCACTGCTTCATGGCTTGAGGGAGATTCCGAATGTTGAGGCTGCATGCGTGAGTCTTTTGTAACCAGGTATAACCGAACACCAGCTAGCAGAGTGTGTCCAAGATGATCGCCCAAGCCGGCCAGGCACCCACGAACGGGTTTGCTCAGAATAGCGAGATCTGATGCTGATTTGGCGGTCATCCAGGAGGCCGGATGCACAGACAAATGCTGCTTTCAACGGGAAACTGCAAGCTTTCAAAACGTTGCGGTTTCATCTGAACTGACGCGCACCTTCTGCTTGTCCCAGAAGCATCAGCAGCAGGCCTTCAAGACGGGCGTGATCGAGCAGAAGCAAGAGCTGCTCACACAGGCTTTCTGAGCTTTATCCAGTTCAATTTGATGGTGCTTTTTGCCTGTAATCTTCTGTCGCTGTCATGAGAATCAGATGCCTAAAGGGACGCAAAGGACGTATTGACACCTCTCGGGCTGGTCAGCAACAGTCAATACCACGCAGACTGTTTGGCATCCTGCTTCTGGTCGGGTGTCAGTGGGTATGAGATGTGTTCCCTGCACCTCCAAACATGATGCATAGCGCCAAGGACCATCTGCATGTAGACCATCCTACTCGGGTAGTATTGCTTCATCTCCAAGCGCTGTGAGGCAGAAGAACTTGTTCTGGCGCCAGACTTGAGGACATCTACGAGCTTCACACGTATAGGTTGCACCAGAGGGTACCGAATGTCGGCTGTTGGGTTGAGCACGCTTGGAGGATACAACGGGAGGTTTGTTCAGAACGTGTGGGGCTCCAGGTGCCCAGCATGAGTTTTACACAACAAACTACTTATTAGGCCTTTGTGACATGTTACACTGTCCCTTATTGGGCTTAGGAGGATCTTACTTGACGAATATTTTTCAGAGGCTTTGAAGGGCCAACCTAGAAAATGAGATCAAACAGAACCTGGCTGCAGCCCTTGAGCCCCATTGGGTTTAGGGTTTGGGGTTTGGAGACGAACTTTCCGGGAGGCCAGCTGCAAAAAGGCATTACATCTCCAAGTCTCCTAGTGTAAACCCAGGTTGAACAGAAGCCCGAAACATAAACCGCACACTCTAAGCCCTTATTTCACATAAACCTCACTACACCCGAAGCATAAAGCCCCAAAACCTCCCGATGTCGAACTCCCAGAGTGAGTGCCCAGATCCTAAACCCAAAGCCGTGCACCCGCCACCTTTTTCGAACTCGGTACGGCAAAGCGCTTATAGTACCCTTTTGCCCTTGTTCTTTTTTGGGCTCCCTCAATTACCGAATAGTCGGATAAAGGGTACGCTTATTATTCAGGGGCTACTGGGGAATTTCGTATAGGGTTTAGACTTTAGACACCGGGAGGTCAGGCAAGCCTGGCCAGGCATACGTGACCAGTAAGCATTTCAGACATCACGACTTCGAAGTAGTCGCTGCTGACTTTATCCGCGCATCGTTTCAACAGCCTTTACAGTAGCCAAGCCAGACTGCGTCTTGAGAACTAGGGGTATGGTGACCTAAACCCTAAACCCGGCCTACAGCCTGAACGCGAAACTGAGTCCCTCTGTAACCCACTACTGGGACTGGACAAGCGTGAATGCCTGACTTCAGCGGGCCTGCACTTGTGATCTCAGAAACCCATGCTCTACAATTTGCTAAACACTGAGAAGATGTATTATGGAAAAACAAGCTGAAATACCGCATTGAATCCCAAAGCCCCTAAGCTCTAAATGAAAGCCCAAACTCTCCCAAAAACGATAAGCTTCTAAATTAGAACACACCCCAAATGTAAAAGCCCAACTCACCCCTGGATTATAAGCTTTTTCAATCCTAAACCCAAAACCCGAACCAAAAGGTCCTAAGTACCTATACTATATGGTGAACTCTAGGTTTTCTAGACTTTGAACTCCTATTACGATTATGGAAGGTCTCCCCAAAATAGGAACCTTAGGACCTTTTGGGAAAGCCCTAAACCCTAAACCCTAAACCCTAAACCCAATGTAGGACCTTAGGAACTTAGGACCCTTTGGGAAAGCCCCGCTTTCCCAGGACCCTCACATCTTCCTTGTCTCGGCGCGTGGCCTTCTGGGAGGCCCTTGTCTAGGGTGTAGGGTTTAGGGCTTAGGGCTTTAGGGTTTAGGGTTTAGGGCTTTAGGGTTTAGGGCTTTAGGGTTTAGGGTTTAGGGTGTACGGCCTTGGGGTTTTAGGAGTTGAAGTCTACAGAACCGTGCTAAAGCGCATGACAGCATGCCGCATGGTCTTAGGGCACGGTGTGTTGGCGGAAGCCTCTCAATCGCAGTCTTTACTGACAGCCACGCCAGAGCTGGGAGTATTGAAACAGAGCAAGTCTGGCCGTCAGGGCTCATAGCCACCTTGCTACCTCGGCCCACAATGCGAATATTCGGGAAGAGATTCCTCAACCTGTTCCTTTAACTGTCAGACATCTGTACAAGCTTACGAAAGGAATCCTGTTGGTCATCCTTCGGGCCAGAGGTTCCTTGCTTCCTGAAACTCCCGTTCGTGGCATCAGGACCAGATCGAAGAGAGCTGGCTGCAGTGGTCTACGCAGTCTAGTCTATTCCACGAGGCGCAGCAGTTTCAGGTGTGAGCTTTAGCGCAGTTAGGAGTTGCGGCACAGCTGCATTGACATACTTATGATGATAGCAAGGTGCCAACCCTGAACCTAAAGCCTGTCCATAGGGGCTACGACGTGCAAGACAGTAAAAGCCCTAAACCGTAAAACTAGACGCCTCTGCCGGACCGTCCAAGCTGCTAGAGTAGGAGCCTAAACCTTATATAAATCCCGCACGGTTTAGGGCTCAGGCTTTACAGCTTTAGGGTCTAAGGGAGACTAAATGCCACATCCATCAAAGTCAGCCGGGACAGGCGCCGTTGTTACACACCATGTTCTGTCAGCTTCAGGGTTCGGGGACGCCGGGTGATGTACCATAAAACGTTATAGGATGCCATGTATGTCGATATGTTTAATATGTACAGTGTGTATGTAGGTACGATTCTGTATGTGTGTATGTATGTCTGTCTGTGTGTATGCATGACATGTATGTCTGTCTGTCTGTATGTATGTATGTATGTATGTATCTATGTACTTATGTATGTGTGTATGTATGTATGTATGTATGTATGTATGCATGCATGTATGTATGTATGTATGTATGTACGTATGTATGTACATCTGACTATCGGTCAATCAACCAATCTATCTGTATATCGGCCTATCAGCTATCCATCCATTTATCTATCTATCTATCTATCTATCCAATGTATGTATCTATCGATATACCTATCTATCTATGTACCTACCTATCTATCCACCTATCTATCTACCTATCTATCTAGGTGGCCTGTCTCGCGATGCAGTAATGAGTACTGTGTTGTGGGTCGAGCTAGGCAGTAAGGGCAGCAGTCGAGTCGCTTGTGAACAAAGTCTATCTATCTATCGATCTATCTATCCGTCTATCTGTCGGTCTGTATCTACAAATGTAGATAACCAAACTCATACATATGTTCGCATATGTATACATGTATTATTTTCACATAGTAAGCCCTAGTGACTCCAGTATATTGGTTGAATATACATGTGCACATGTATATACATATATATATATATATATATATATAGCTTACTACAATATACTAGAACTGTTATACGATGGTCTATAATATGCTAGTCTGGACAATCACTTTTAGACTCCAGACTGCTGCCTTAGCAGAAGATGCCAGAGCAGAGAACTCTGGATCATCGTGAATCGCTTGCATTTAGGGCCAGCTTCCAAGGCGAAGAGCTCCAAGTACTATAGGAGGCTGAATCATTACGTACCTATACTGTTTTTGGGGCTTCCTTATTATAACTGTTATAGCATAGCATACCCCCCAAAACCTTATTAGAATTATTAAGGCCCTGCAATAACCTGGCTTGCATGTATCGACCCGCAAATCACAAGCCGATCGACAGCAAGGTATCGTTTGTACTTAAACTTGGGTGGAGGGTTCTTGAGCCGTCGTTGCCTTCACGCATATGACCAAGCGGCTACATGAGTTGGTAAGGATCCGCGGCAGCTGTTCTCAATATGCGGTTCTAAGTTTGCTTTGGATTCGCAGTTTTTTGTGGAGACTCGCGGTACCGAAAGTCTGGATGGATCTTGGGTTTTGCAGGGAAGATGTCAAGAAGTTTCCAGAAGCACCATGGGAGGCACAAACAGATGCATCGGAGACATGGGAGAAGCTGCGCCTATCTCTCAGCATATACTCGGGCGTCTCGGGTACAAGGTTCTGGGTTAAAGATAACATTCAACATCATTCCATTGTCACGCCTGTCTAAACTCGGAAGATGGGTGTCGAGACATCATGATGCCCCACATGTGTGCTTGTGGCTTGAAGATGATAGTTCATGACTGTGCCGACCGGCATACCCCCACAGCCATTTGGTCCAATTTCACATATCTCAGGGCAGCCCTGCACCTCGATCCCCAAACCGGAGGCTGCGCAGGAAGCCGAACATACACACCCTAAGACTAAGCCCTAAACCCTGGACCCGTAAGGCTCTGTAAGAAGGCAGCTGTGTAACACTGACATGCATAACGGGAGTCCGGCACGTCGTCGGCTCTTGGTAGCTACCGGTCGTCACATTGTCTGCCACAGGTTTATGTTCATAGGGCTGTCGAGTTGGAGGGCAGTGGCACTTGCCTCGACGTCGCCAGATGGAGAACTCTCCTGGCAATGTGGAGGAAGCACCGTATCTTGCACATGAGGCGACGAGCGAAGTCTTGTGGCTCAGCCGCAGGAGCATGCCGGTTGATCAGAAGAGAGGTGGCAAAGGGGCAGCAGCACCTAAGACGTACTACTCGTGCTGAACATCTCAACCAGTAGCTGGTTTGAAAGCTTTGCTTAGCCACCAGACTATGATGTCATGAAGCCTGTGTTTACTCATTCACGCTTTCTAGTGCTTTGACAACCATGTCCAGAAACATCCGTATGAAGAAGTCCGGCCGTGTGGCAACATGAGGGCTTAGGGCTCTCTTGGGTGTTTTGGGTTTGCCGTAGCCCTATAGCAACCAGGAGCGGCAGTTTCTTCAGCTACCCTGAACCCTAAATCCTAAATTCTAAACCCTAAACCCTAAACCCTAGACATGCGAGAGGGAAAAAACCGTAGACCCTAAACCCTAAACCCCAAACCCAGGCTTGAAACTTGAAAGACAGTGGGCTTCCCTGCAGGCGGAAATATCCGGGAGTTGAGGCCAGCAGCTTGCCATGGCCCTTTGACATCCGTAGAGGGTTTTGGGTTGTATTATACTACAACTATAGTAGGTTTAGGGTTATTTTATACCATAATTATAAAAAAAAGTTTTGGGTAAGTTTAGACTATAGTTATAATAGCTTTTTTGTTATTTTATACTTTAATTATATTAAGGAACCACCAAAATAATGTAGGTAATTCTCATCATTAAGGCCCTCTGACATTAGTAAGTAGTATAGGCTTTTGGTGTATTCTATTATACTTTAATTATAATAAGGAACCACCGAAAATAATATAGGTAATAATCATTAAGGCCCTCTGACATCAGTACATGGACGGCTCGTGACATCGACATCTTCGTCGGTAGCGGAGGCCGGGCAAGGATGAAACGCAGTTTGCTGAGCACTCGGTGCTTCTGGATTGGGACAGGAGTCTTTCTGACCGCCTTACGCTAGCTCGCCCCGCAGCTTAGCTTGAGAGTCCTGGCAGCTCCCAAAACCCCAGAAAAGCTGCACTGAATATCATCTGCATGCAGTCGCTGGTCAGGCTTTGTTAAACCCAAGCGCAAGAAGGAAGCGGCTGCAAAGCTATCTGCAGCATGGTGGCACAAGGGTTTATGCGAAGCTTGCAGCTCTAAGCAGCTTCGATCAGTAAGGGGCTATGCCGAAAAGGGGGTCGGCCAGTTGGCCATAGAGACGCTCATACAAATTCGTGGTTTCAGCTATCGGGAGGTTTGAACCCACGGCTTGAGCAGAAGCCTATCTACAGCCTTCGAGCTTCTTCCGGAGCGTCGGGTTCTGTGTCACATGCGCATCATCTAAGCTTTGGGCTTGAAAGTTCTGTAGGGCATCACAAACTTGTAATTTAGAGGCCTAAATATAATTACCTATACTATCTTTGGGGTTCCTCATGATAATTTTAGTATGTACTGGTATAACATACGCCCCAAAACCCTATCCTAATTATTAAGGCCCCTACAAAAGCTCCAGAATTATGGGGGCCTTGCTGGTTCCGAAGCACCTGCTTGAACGGAGATGTCCTTACTGAATCTTCACATCCAGCAGCTCGGTGCTTTGCAGCAGATGTGGCACGTAGGCAGGAAAGGAAGACACCGACATACCGGCACAAAGAACAAGCCTTGCTACAGCAAGAGCTTCTGAAGCCCCCGTCTTGACCAAGAGCTACTGGTTGAGGCGTGCTCGCAGGCACCATCAGAACTTTAAACCGCAATGTCTGCGCCAAGGCCGCATCCAAGGCGGACTTGGCGGCGAGCAAGCCGGCAACACATTAGGGATCTGTTCAATGGTACGCAGTCCACATGCTTGGAGGCACTTCAGATTGAGATGGGAACAGATAAGTGGGCCCAGAACTCTCGAAGAGGACACGATTGTTCTGCTAATCTCAAGCGAGGCTTGAAGACGACATGCGATCTATTCAACCAGCAAAATAACCGGTTACTGGGTTCCATCTTCCATGGATAGTAACCTACTATCTAGGTAGCTGAAGGTTGAGGGAACACAGGTGAAGATGTTGAATGTCTTGGTTACTGATGTTTGGACGCAGCGTAGATCACAGAACGTACTCGCACGATGTCTTTCTTGTGAGGCTCTGCCGAAACCCCATCCGTGGCAAAGGTCAGACAGGCTCCGCAGCCCAACAGAAAGTTCACAACAAGGGTGCCCCGGCCGACAGATGCCTTGTCGAGTGTCCGGTTTGCCGCTGAATGCAAACAGGCTTTCATTGTGCAGAAGTTGTAGACTGTATGGGGTAATCGTCGGGTGAAGGTTTCATGGTTTTTTAGCTCTTGAGTTCTTGTATTCACTAAACCAAGATAAGAGAGGGCGGCTGGTTGCTGCAAGATGCACGCTTTGGGAACCTAGGAATTCTTGCCGCGTGGGTTGACAGCATGTTGTCTCCTGTGACGTTGCACCTGCGGCAACTACTCGGCAGAATCCTCTGCAAGAGGGAGTGAAGACAGTAGGCTGTAGGTGGTGCGGCTCCCAGCCTTGTGGACCTTGCAACCGTTCATCCGCAAGTGGAAGCGTGTTGCTGTTACTTCAGATCTGGCGGAAGCTACTGACGCACCCGTCCTGCCCGAGGAGCACGCCGCATATTCGGTTTGTGGTCGCCACTTTCTGTGAGCATGTCGGTTGGGATTCAGATGGCAAGCTTGTCGCTGGATGTGGGGAATCGTTCTGCGCAAGTCGGCACTCCGAATTGCACCATTTGATCGTAGGCTCTGAGTACGCAAAGCGTTCCCGGCTAAGCTTGGGATGTAGCAAACTCGGACGACTCCAGACGAAATGGAACCTGAGGCTCCAAGTACATGAAGAATTCTTCATGCGTACCTCGGGATCAGTCTGGAATCGTACCTACTTTGGCCTTAAAACCCTAAAACCCTAAACCCTGACCCTCTGAACCGCCTGAAGGAGGATCTATGTGGAACTTTGCGCGGTCGGTGCCGAGGTCGATTTGGGGGTTTCCGAAAATAGGGGACCCTAATATGGCACCCCTTGTTGTCGTACCCTCCCATTTCCGGGAGAGAGAAGTGAACCTAGGCTTGTAGACAGGGCTCCCAGAAGTGACATCCTCATAAGTCATAAGACATGTTTTTGTTGTTGCGCCATTGGGTGTTTAAAGATTTTTTCTCTCTATTAAGACGGTTCTCAATTAATTACAATCGATTAACATATCATAGAACTTGAGATTGTATGCCCGTCTTGACGCCAGAGTTCGTGCCCCTCGGTCCGGAATTCGCTGAACAAGCGGTCGCATGCGCGGATACATATTTAATATGGGTGGTTCTCTAAAGTATTTTAGTACCCCAAAATAGTGCAGTAGCTTCAGAAACCGGACCCTAAACGGGACCCTCATTCAGAGAATAACCCATGTCTTCACCCCAAGCCTCGGCGAGGAAACGAGGAATCGGCTCTGGGTTCAGGGTTTATAATAGGCTTTGGGGTTCCAAGCAAGCCTGTGTAAGAAGGGTTTAAGGTTCAGGGATTAGGGCTACCCGAAACCCTAAACCCTAAACCCTGCAACCCAAAACCCGAAACCCTAAACCAAAACCCTAAACCCTAAACCCTAAACCCTAAACCTTAAACCCTAATCCTTAAACCCTAAACCCTAAACCCTTAGGGTTACAGAATCAACTTGGGGGTTGGAGGGTAGGGTTCCGGACCACGAAGATCTCATGAAGTTGTTGCACCCTGCAAGGCTGTGACCAGTGCTCCGGCTACCGACGATGGCCAGGCGTCGGGGGTGGCTGAGGCCCGGAGATGTGATGCACAGGATGATGCCTACTACACCGGTATTCCCCTTTCTTGATCCGGGTGCCAAGCCGAGCAATCCGATCTTTCAAGAATGCCTTGCGATTATATAGGGCATTGTGAGCAGCCCACCGCACAACTGCCGACAAAAAGACTTCGGACCGCTTCCCGAAAGCGATCCTCCACCTCGACCTTCAGCCACTGCGAAATGCTAGCATCGTCCCCTGAACCCTAAACCCTCAAGAAAGAAATAAATCGAAATTGCTTGTTGCTGTTGGCCATCCGGACACCTAACTTGTTTTCGGTCGGGACACAGCCTTTCCATTTCTAATAAGCAAATTGCAGTTTCAGGGTTGAGCAAGGCAACCACACCAGCCAGCCCAGGCCACCCCACAGCCTCCAGCCCAGCCCAGCCCAGCCCACCAGCCAGCCCGCCCAGCCGAGCCCAGGCCTAGTCCCTGTCCCAACCGGCCAGCCCTAGATTCAAAATCAAGTGTCAAAAAGAAAACCCGCTCAAAACTTTCGGTCAAAACGTTTCGGTCAAAACTTATTGGCACCCAAACCCTTACCAATTTCTATAAACCCTAAACCCTAAACCCTAAACCCTAAACCCTAAACCCTAAACCCCTAACCCTAAACCCCAAACCCTAAACCGATATCTAAGCCACAACAGAAGCTCTCATAGCCTGAGCTCCACGCACTCTGGGATCTCACCTTCCGCTCCTAGGCTCTCAAGATCCTTCAAGTACCCAAGGGCTCCTATGTAGTTCCTGTTGGGATAGCATACTATAGTTCCTTAAAAAAATATAACAGACCCAAAAAGGAACTACATTGGAGCCCTTGGGTATTTTCAACATTTCGAAGGGAAGTGGGGCGTAAGTGGCCTTTATGTGTCTTATCTCGTCTACCTCACCCCCTTCGAGCTTATTTGTTACAGAGCTTCAACCTGCAGGTGGAGACATGGCATTCGCAAAGGCACGGCAGAGCACGACGGAAGTTCAGGTTCTGAACAATCGGGAACGGTAATAGTACGAACCCTATAGTTGTTTGTGCATAGGGTCAGGTGTTGGAGAGAGGGGGAGACGAGGAGCCCGGTTTTCGTAAGCCTTGCGATTCTGCCTCACAAAATATCAAATATAATATATATATATATATATACATACATTTTATTATATATATATATATACACACATAAAATATATAACATGTATTATATAATATCAAGAGCCTCAGTGATCCTTCGGCTGGAGGCGGCTCTGCGCTGCTACCGCTGTCGCTGTGCACACAAAGAGCACGAGTCCTTGAGCTAAAGGACCCGGTTGCACCTCAGGCTGTTCGAGCATTTCTTTTCCTGTACGTAAACCCCGGCGGCTCCGGAGCTATGGCGAACGCACCGTCACAATCGTAAGACAACAGAGCGCCGGGCGTGAAATGTGATGCTTTGCAGGTCAGATGCCCCGATGGAGCACACGGTTGCATCGACCTCGTGCCCAGAACGGCACTAGCGTGAATCATCCCGAATCTGGGTTCTGGGTCATGCGGCTTGAGGCGTTGACGGAAGTGTTGGCGGCGAGCTTTTCGCTACTTCCGATTATCTGCTTCGTCGATTCGTGGTTCTCAGATCCCTTGAAGGGACAGCCAGGAAGCGGGATGGCTGATATATGATGTGAGCGAAAATGAGCAGACACCGCCAAAGAATGCGGGCCTCGAGTGTGCGAGATCTTCCGGACCTGCTGAGCCGATTCCCTCCCAGTTTTTATGCCTCTTTTCATGGAAGGACCGAAAGTCCCAGCAATTCCCTGCGGTGCCTCAGCTGCCCCCCCAGCGTATGACTGAGCGTCTCCTCTACCAGAAGGGTAGCCGGGCAGCGCTCATGACCGACTGGGGCGGACAGCAAGTTAGCACAGACTGGGGCAGTGCCTGAGACAGTCCTTCTGGTGGGAACTGCCCACACAAGTCAGCAGTCCATTTCAGGAAGCACTCCTAGGAATGCACCTGCGAACCTTAAGTCTCAAACCGTAAACACTCGGTCAAGTCAGCCTGCGGCACCTGTCCGCCAGACGCTGCCGAAGGGACTGATGACACTCCTCTCCGACACTCCGCCAACTTCAGCCAAGCGAACCCAGAGACTCCAATACCCCTTAATTAAGGAATATACCTTAAATCATATTAGGGATCCTACTATAATTTAAGGTATATTCCTTAATTAAGGGGTATTGGAGTCTCTAGGAAACACAGCTGACTTGCCGTGGGGCTTTTGTGTGAGGGGGTCCCAGCTTGCGAGCCCTGAACCCTAATCAAACTCTCAACCCAATCATTGACAGCACCCGTTGGGCATGTCGGAATAGGTTTCAAGAACTCAGGATGCACACGGGCTTCGAAATAAATCCGAAGCTTCACTTGCAGCTTTAGCCTTGTGATTGCAGTTCCTTCCACAGTTTCAGAAGAATGCACGCGACAGCGTTAGAATGGACCGCGGCCTAAGTTCCGCTGCAGACGGGAATCATTTGGCCCCAGGCGAGCAGTCCTACAACCTGCTGGAAGCTACCAACGTCAGGGCCCTCAGAGATTCGCCGCTGTTGAGATTATATACGTATAAACCATACAAACATACACACACACACACAAAATCGCACACATATATATATATATATACCGACATACATACATTTGTACATATAGAAATGTATATATTTGCATAGGGGTGTGTCTCTCTCTCTTTCTCTCTTTCTCTCTTTCTCGCATCTTCTCATGCGTCCAGGGGGGACCAACCTGGCCTGAAGGTCTGCGGCCTGTATGTGAACCGAACTGCATTTCTCTATCTGCCCGTCTCTGCCTCTCTGTGACTTCCACACAGATTGCCAGAGGGGCAGGGGCTCTCAAAGACGGAAGCCAGGCCAGAATCCAGCAACCTTAAACCCGAAATACCCTTGATGTAATGGTCTGAATCATTATACTATTTAGTAGTACTCCAATATTGTCCCGGGCAACGTCTTACGATAGCCTACCTACCATAATGGAGTGAACTCCCAAAAAGACCCTCCCCATCATGGTTTTGGGACCTAGTTCCAGAATGGTAGTATATGTGTGTATGTATATACATATATATATATATATATATATATTGGACCTACTTGGCCGAAACCCCATTACGCCCCACGACTCAGCCAGGCCCTTCTGGCTGACTCGGCTGGTGGATTGGATGGCCAGGCAGGGCACAATGCACCCTGTCGGGCATGGGCAGAGCCACAAGGCTCTAGACCTTCGAAGCCCTAGCCCAGAGAATTATGGAAACTGTGAGCAAACCTTAGTATGCTAAACCCCGACACCAATTCCAACATCCACCTTGAAAACTATTGCCTCCTGTGGACGGTGTGCGGTGTGGCCTAAAGATGCATTGGCCTTTGAAGCCTCTTGTCGTCCTGCTCTGGTGGTTCCATGCTCTGACTAGGTGGCTGACCCTTTCGACGAGTCGTTGCACGATACCTTTGCCGAGGCTTTCGGCATTTCTCGTTGTCTACGTCCCCAGAGGTTCTAACAACCGCAGCCCCAAATCGATGCAGGGTTCGCCCGGAGCGGTAACACCGCATCCCCACTGGCCACATCACCTTGAACCCAAAGAGCTCTGAAGCCCCATGGCTGCGTGTGCGTGTGTGCGCGTGTGCGCGTGTG